TATTTTGATAAAATGCAGTGGGTTTCTTTTGTATTAATAGTAATCTGGGTAAAATATTTTATCACACGTGCTTTTAGTAGTTTATAAAGTGTATATTTATTTATAAATATGATAGGATCAGATATTTACACTGTTATTTAAAAAGTAACATATAATATTGATTAAAGGGGATATTATTAATTAACATTATTTTGGTACCTACGTATCAAAATTTTGTTTTAAATTTACTTAAAAGTATTATATAAAAAATATATGATTACGTAAAACATGTTTTCTATTGATTTAATAATAATACATACAATTTGTTTATTCAAAAAAACATTTTTTTTTTTAAATATTTTTCTATGAAAAAATATCCCAGTAGAATAAACAATAATGTTTTTGATTCTCATTCTAAATATTTATTATGAACTGGTATGGAATTTTCAAATAGGATGTATTTGATATTTTCAATTATAATTTGGTATAATGATATAGTGTCTAATGATACCCTTAATTATTCTATCAACATTTTATTTATATTTTTGATATGGTTCACTATTTAAAAAAAAATTAAAATATAACTCATCTCAAACACTAATATATAATTTGAAATGTATTAATATAATGACGTATACAATATAAGTTTTAACAATTTATTAACTGTTTTATTTATTTAACTGTTAAAAATATTTATAATTAAGTGTTCTATTTAATCATCGTTGTTATATTATGATTTGACTTTCGAATCACACAATGTACAATAATTAAATTCTTTTGTAAAAAATTAAGATTAAAATGTATATGCTGACTGGACTAATTTGATCTTAATAAATTGTCATTAATGGTCTTTGATCTCAATAGTAAAAACATATACCTATATTATTTTACTCTAGGTGATTAGTGACTCATCACATCCTTATTTGGTGATTTGTAGATAAACTAAATACGAATATGATTCATTCCTACATATTTTCAAATACGCGTTCTTCAGTGTTTCGTAAACTTATATCGTTATTTTAATATTCAAATTAAATCAATTAAACATATTTTATTGATTATTTATGCTGTCTAAGTAATAGATTTAAATTTTAAATTAACAATTAAAACGCAAGTGTTTTGTTTTATTTTTTAAATTTGTCTTTTGTCTCTAATTAAAATTTAATTTGTAATCGCTTCAAATTTGAGTTCATCGAGTAAATACAAATCTCTTGTATTACAATTGTGGTTCTTTGTAATACATTAAAATATAAAAACTCTTGCTTTAATAATCTTCCTAACTGTATTATAATTAAACCTTTAAAAGTGGTTTTTCAACTACTAATCATAAAGCATTTTATTCATATATTATTATTACTATGTCAATGATGTTGGTAAATATTTTCATTAGTTTCCGTTAAAGTTATATTATGAAAAAATAATTACTATATTTTTAGATTTAATTATATACACCTATTGTATTTATACATAATTTGAAAATCACTTCCTCCATATAGTGATTTTAAGCGCAGTCCAATGTATTCATGTTGTATTAATTTTTAAAGTATGATAAGTTATTTCTTTACGAGGAGTTTAAACAGTGGGGAAGGATACTAACACCTACTACACCCTCAAATGAAAAACATTTCATTGTGTTCACTCGGAGACATGGCACAAGCACAACCTTCAGTGTTTCACTTAGACTTGCTACTAGCGGACGTTTGAAAGCTGATTAGTGTTACGGTTAGACCGTGCTTAGTTTTATTTTCACGTTATTTATCAATTATTTTAGAAAACATCCAGTCGTGATTTAAATGTTTGAAATTTTCATTGTTAAACTTATGTGCTATTATTCTCAGTCTATTTATTTATCAATTAAAATGTAATGTTTACCGACCTCAAAAAGCAAAAGAAAAGAAATACATTTTTTGGATCAATTTTATTATAAACTGTAGGATATTGGTAAATTTAAAATATTTTTAAATTATTTCAGTTGGTTTTAAAACTTTTTACGGACGTGTTTACAATTTTAAATTAAAATACAAGTAAATGCGCGATGGTGGTTGTTGTATGAATATTAAAAACACGTCTGTTTCATAATTATTGTCTGTCAATTATTTGTCATGTACACATAGGTACGTTGAAATATAGTATTTTTTTCATTAAATACACTCATGTGTGGAACGAAAAATAATATGTATTATTTTATTGGTGTTATTAAAGTGTTACATTTTTACAAATGACACTTTTAAACGGTTTTAATAATAATGAATAATGAGGAACTGATAAATATTAAATTTTAATTTAGAGTTGTGCATTTTTTTTTTTTTTTTTATAAACATGTTAATTATTACAATATAAAATGTATAATTATAACTTATAATTTAATTGAGAAGGGTCAATCATCTTAATTTCCTAAATTAAATACTTCTTTGTTTTGGTCTGTCTAATCGTTATCAAAATACATATACCTATACATAAAGTTACTTACGCCCGTATGTTATGTCATATACAATAATAATAATAATAATAGTAATCAAAATATAAATATTTAATTATTTATTTAAAATGTGGTTAGATAAGATTATTTATATTTCTACGTCAATTAAAATGGTTATCCGTTCTTATCAGTTATTATTTCATTAGTCTTTGTGGTAGATATTTTGTAAAAGGTGTATATGTTTTTACATTTTTATTACTGAATATTTCAATGAGAACTATTTAATAATAAATTATGATATATATATATATATATATATATATATATATATATATATATAATCATATGGTTTAACATTAAAAACCTTTAGCTGTTGTACACGGGAAAAGTGAGTAATGCAATATTTTAAATAAATTGTTATACACATAACTTTTCATAACTTTGTCATTTTTAAAATTGGATTTGAAAGTAATATTTAATCTCAATATAAATTGGTCTCACTAACTATAAATATTAAAAGTATTTAATATGTATTTTTTAATTTTTATTGGAAGTTTAAAAATGGTTAGCTGCTATAATTTTAAGTATTCGAAATAATATAATGAGTACCTATATATTATTTTGCTATGGCATGATGGGAGGTCTGTGATTTTAAGATAATTAAATTATTTTTATTTGTGGATTACGACAAATTATTGTTATTATTTAAAATCAATCATTATTTTATTTTCCTATCTATTCAATGCGTGTAACTCTGATTAAATTTGCAGTTGTTTTCTTCATTGGTAACATACCTCATACATTCGTATAGTTTGACGACTTGATTATTTATTTTATTGTGACACAGATAGTCTTAAAATGATCAACAGTTTAAATCTACAATTGTTTTCCTATTTTTGTATTCTGTTCGCCTTGTTGAAGATTATCTTATATTCATAATACGATGAAATAGTAGATTTTAAATGATATACGCTGCATTTGATGTTTTTACTGTTACCTTAGACGAATTAAAAATGTAGCTACTTTTATGTTTCAGCCTTCTGTCGTTAAACTGGATGAAAATTTTTGAATATTTCTAAGTTTGTCTTTTTGATTGACTTTGTATTCATATTATTAGATAAATTGTAAAAATAAATGATTTTGTAACTTTATATGTCATAAAACTAAATTACGGGATTTTATATATCTAATAATACATGTTAACACGTATTATTATTAAATATCAAATATGATAATTTAATTCACCATTTATTATTTTTGATAATTAATTTTAATTGAATGGTTTTAATGTAGTGATGTTAGTAATTAAAATAATGTATATGGTTTAGTATTTTAATTTCTTATCTATAAAAATCTACAATTCCTGATCTAGCTATGTATTAAACAACATTTTAAAATAATTTGGGCAAAAAAAAAAGATTATTTTAGTTAAGAATTTACATATCAACGTTATAATATTTTCCAAATGTGGTGCTAATTCTTGAATAACTAAAATAAATGTAATAGACATAGACTATAAAACGCTGAAATATTTGTATAAATCGACCATTAATTGTATGCAATATAATTCTTGTATCTACATAGTTTTATATCTATTATAAATGAACTTCTGATATTTGCATTAAATTTACCTGAGTGATGGATATGTTTAGTATTTTCACCTGTTGTCAAATATATATCTTTGTACCAATAGTAAAAATATTAGTTTACTTTCAAAATGTATTTTAAAACAATTATTTTTGTCGTAATTTTATGAATTAAAAATAAAAATGTATCACTTATTATCTCAATCAAAACTTACTTATTGATATTAAAACAAATTTATTTTAAATAAATGGTTTATTCAGAAGTTACCGTCTCACCATGTGTAAAAATGTGTTAATTGGTTAGAATAACATTAGAATTTGTAGTGTGTATTTTAAAAATAGTGGTATTGAATTAATTATGTGATTTGTGTAATTATTGCGATTTTCTTAGTGATAGGTCAAAGGGTCTAGATTATTATTCAATTTAGACTTTATAGCTTTTAATATTTAACAATTAGAAATTAAATATTTCATGATACATTTTGTGTGTGAGTATACGAGTACATCGACATAGGTTTAAAGCTTTTTTTTAATAATTGATTTATTGTCTTAAAAGTAACATGTCTTAAATTATTCATTACTTATTTTAGTAGGGAATAGCAGTATGACCTTGTTGCCTTTTTGAGTTTCAAATAGCAATTTATTGAGTATGGTTTCAGGATCGTTATGTTGACATAATGTAATTAATTTCTCAAAGTGTATAGCGAACTCTGCTATCCTTATAATATACGTGTATGGCCTTTAAAAAGAATTTTCACGACTTATCATTATATGCATGTGTGTATCTTTACAAAATGATCTATAAAACTTTGATGCGACTTAATTAATTTTCTCAACGATTACTAAATACCAATGTGATATTTATATTATTATTATTATTATTTTTTTTATGTTGAATTTTTTTATTTTACATAACATTGAAAATAATAGTTTTAGTATAATAATATTTGTATGTTTAGTATTGTGTGTGTTGATTTGGTTTATATGAAGAAAAAAATATAATGTTATGCATCTAGGTAAAGGTGCGTATACACATAAGATGTTGATCGCTTCGTCTTCCTAGCTTGTCTTCCTATTGTTCTTACCTCAGTGTGCAAAATATTATAATCCATGTCAAAAAAAAGGAACTCGCAGGCTCCACAATCCAATAGCCAAGGCATAGGTAAGAGAAATATAATAACAAATATTTGTAGGTACTATTTATATTACATATATTATGTAAATATGTACTTATATAACATAAAATATATAATACATACCAACATGTACAGGTACATTATTATCCTTTCTATTTAAAGACTATTGGTTAATTAATTTGCACAATTTTTGCTACAAAAATCACTATAGTCATAAACGAAATAATATTTTATTTCACATTTTCAATATTTTTAAGCAATTTGAATATAAGTACAAAAAATTGCATGTAATTTTTATTAATTTATAACTCGGTAAAATAACACGTAGTTATAAAATATACATTTTTAACGCTATTTTAAAATAATTATAAAAGTTTATTGTAAATACCTGCATAAAATTTATGCAAAAGAAGTTCTGTCGAATCACATATTTTTTTTCTTCGACGTTGTTTTGTAGATATTTTTACACTGTATGATTTTATAAAATATGCTTATTATTATTGTGAGAAAATAAGAAATAAATAATACCTATATATTATTCGATAAAATTATTTGTCGAATATGCATCTACTGAAGTAGTACTACAAACGTACTGTTTGAAATAAACTAGTTAGTTATTAGAAATTATATATTTTATTTGATCAAAGTTCATTTTGAATGCATTCGTATCTATCGAAAGAACTAATTAAATCAGGGCGATATGAGAATTGTATAAATAATAAAATTATCCTTTCTCACTGCATAGTTCAATAGGTAGATTATAGACTATAGTATACTAGTATAAAATAGTATTATTGATTCATAAAAATTTTATTTCTTTTTAATATTGCAGTGTATGGCGATTACAGTTAATGAAAAATTCAAGTAAACTGATAGTGATTTGTTTCCGTATAAATTGTATACTTTATTGTATACTGGAGTACAGAACTACTTTATTATTTATTTACTTATATTTGATTATTTTTTTCAAGTTTTGACCGAATAATTATTTTCTTTTAATAGAATATCATAATAGCTAAGAAACATTCCAACCTATATTGGTTTTATAGTCTATTGTATAGTAACGGTAGTCACTACTGTAGTAATGGTGTTACTCTTTCATGCTTTATATGAATATATATGTACACACGGGCATGTTCGATTACTCGTATCCATTTTTAATAGGTAGTTAAAAAACGAATAAAGTAGGCGATATGGTTCTTACAAAAGTTATGTTGATAAACGCTTATCGTTTTGCAAAAATGTACACTCGTTTTATTCTGTTAGCCGATTAAGTATAAAACTAAGACCAATTTAACTTGTGGATCGTTGACACTTTTTTTCAGTTATTGGTATGTGGGGCAACAGATAAGTTGTAAAATATCTGCGCATTGTGGTACACTTTGTAAATAAGATTTGCATAAATTGCATAAACTTTTATGTACTGTAAATATACCATGAAATGCGCTATTGAATGGCTGACGTTAATCTGCGCTTCTTTGAATATTGTTTCAGATCAGTACGGATTCGAAGATGATGGAAATCCTGATGCTGTTGATTGCCTGGGCGTTAGGGATAACAGATCGATACACATCAATTCTGATCAGCTGTATAAGAGCTGCTCGAACTGTATATCTACCGCCAAGTACAGTTTACTGTCGTTCTTGCCCATTTTCCTGTTTGAACAGTTCCGGCGGTACTCGAACTGTTTTTTCTTGCTCATAGCACTCTTACAGGTTAGTGAGAAACATATTATGTTCAACTATGTACTGTAATACACGTTACACATACTATTTTGTATGTGTATTATCCTAAACTATTTCACAGTAATGCAGGACGTAGGCTTGAGTGGTTCTGTATTTTTTCTCAACAATCGAACTTTTTTTATGATTTTTTTAAGTACGTGCTCCATGAGTGTTCTCTAATATGCTAGTAGAGTAATAAAAAAAAATTGTATTATTCTTAGTGTTTTATATCATACTTTTACTATGTAATACACATCCATAGGTTTTTAGGAAAACGAACTAGTTTTTTTTTTTGTTTTTACTTTTGTCTAAAGATATGGTTAATTTGATACAAAACGCATTAATAATATCACTTTTTTTTCGTAATATATATAGATAAAAATAATCCGTACAACATAAATTAACAATAAATTATTGTATAATATAAGGTGTTTCAAAAAGGACGCAGGATTTAAATTTGCTATAAATTAAATGTATTTTTTTAAAAACGTATCGAATATATCATTCTCTTCAGAAAAAGTTAAGGTTTTACAATAAAAAACAATATCGGGCATGTCACCCTCTTAGTAGCCTTACAGGTGATTACTCTTTCCATAAAATTTACCGTCACTGGATAACACATTGCCCCATTAAGTTCGTTGAAGAAATGACGAAGTTCCAAAACATTTCGAACTTTGTTCTGGTAAACTCGTGACTTAGCGTAACCTCATAAGAAAAAAATTACACGGCGTCAAGTCGCAAGATCGAGGTGGATAGCTTTGACTATGCAACGAGATTAGTCTGCCCGGGAACTTCTCACCTAGCCGAGGAATTGTTACTCTTGAAGTGTAACAAATTGCGCCGTCTTGTTTTAACCATACAAGAATACCTACTGAGATCAGTAATTTACTTTGGCCGCATTTGGACTAAATGAACACCCAAAATGTTTGGTTTTAACTTGACACGCTTTAAGAGAAACAATTACTCTGCTGCGTGAGAAGTTCCTGGATAGACTAATCTCGTTGCGTGGAACCAAAGCTACTCACATCGATCTTGCGATTTGACGCCATGTGATTTTTTCTTATGGGGACACATAAAATCACGAGTTTACCAGAACGAAGTTCGAAATATCTTGGAACACAAAAGTTGTTACATTTTTTTAAAAACAAACAATACTCAAAATTACATTTTATATTAAATTTCAACCATTTCTGTGTGCAATATGAACCGTTTTTACTCATATCTTAACCTTTATACAACGTAGTTATAAATATTGCATATTTTTTAAGTTCTATCATTGCTAGAAGACAAAATTAAAGATTATTCTTTGCTGGTCATAATATTTTGACTTTATACAAGTTATTGCAAGAAAATGTAAATTTATATATGATTTTGCGTGAATACATATTATGTGAGCACGTTTGCCTGTGATCGCACATCTGTTTTTTTATTAACGGTGGGCGTCGCTGCTCCGACTTATGTCTCCATAGCTGATGCGTTCAAATAATATAAAAAAAGAAAAAAATAACCTTTCCTAGTGTATTTGACGTGCAATTTGCTAAAAGTATATTATACGCACTCTTTGATATTTACTGACCTTACTGTCTAGAGCACTCGATTGTAAATGTTAATGGCATCGTGACCTTTGTATTAGGGTTCTGATTTATTATCACTGTTGACTGCTGATGAGTAAAGACCATAGATTCGTTAGTAGTGGAATGTAGTAGTTGTTTTATCGTTTTTATTAATAATTATATTTATGGTTATTTTCCCAGATAGTGCTGAAACACAATTATAGTTAACATTTCAATATTTATGATAAGAGTTAGGGACTTTTCGTATTTGCTTATTCTTTAATAATGACTGTAGAATAATCTAAGATATAAATTTGACATAACAAACTGAAAATATGAAAATTTGAATTGCATATTTTCGTATATTTTGCCGTTTTTTTGGTATGATGCATTTAAGTCAAGTTTTTTTAAATTTAATAGTTATTTAGAGCATATATACTAATTTTAAGTTTTATGTAAAGTAAATTAATTCTAGAAGTTATCATTGTTTTTTTTTACATTTTTTATAATTCTAAACTTTTTTTTCATTGTAGGAGAAAGGACGAAAAAAATTAATTTAATCATACAGAGTAATATTATAGGTTATTATATTATAATATTATAATATTTGTGTGCAATAAATCCCGGACCATACTTATTATTACTACACTCATATAAATTAATGCAGTATATTATTATAATACGCATCTTTTACGAATTATTTTACTTAACAAAGATTACAAATAAATGCATATGTTTATTTTATTGGATAATATTTGTATATCATTTATTTTTATTTTATTAATTTTCAAAACTTTTAAGTTTTTGATTATCTATTAAATTGACTTAAAACATGGAGAGGCTGATTTTAAGAAAGGAGTAAAGTCTTTTAAAATGTACGATTATTACGATAAATATGGATTAGGTAAAAATTGAGTATATGATGTCGCTGTTTAAAATATTTACAATTTTTCTCAAAATAATTTTTAGTGTACATATGCATAGTAAATTATATAAAAATTAAATAAAGACCTACATTCTTATAAAACAGTAGTATAAATAAATTTTATGTATGTGCTCTAAAAAACTCAAATATATTCTCATATAGAATGTAAATGTATTTCTTTTCTAAAAAACAGACGAAAATAATAATAATTTTTTTCCACATTATACTACAACATGCCAAAATTATTAAAACTAGAGGTCACACTTTAAATACTTAATCATGGATGGGACATTATATGGGCGGTGATATGGGCACCAATACATGATAATATAATTTTTTAATTATTTTTGAAACAAGTTTTGAAATATGTTTGTTGTTAAGGCAGTTGGAAGCAGCGTATTTATTTCACGTTGTAGACCTAAAAGCCTGACAAGATTACGCATACTTAAAATCATCATAATTAAATTCTGTAAAAAGATCTGAGTGGATCAACTTTTTTTCTAGGTTAATGTGGAAATCGGTTTTTGATACTTGTTTAAAAATTGTCTTTAAATCTTATTTGAGTTTCTCAATTTTTTCTTAATTTTTAGATTTACTTTAGTATTTTTATTAAGAATGTTAAACAGTGATTTTAAAATTGACTTCTACAATAACCTAGAAAAAAAGTTGATCAACTCAAATCTTTTACAGAATTGAAATCCGATCATTTGGAGTTGATGATTTTTTGTCAGGCTTGATTAATTTTCAGAGTTTCTTTGTCGGAACAAAATATTTTATTTCATCAAATGCATTAACTTGTGCATGCGCTTGCGAACCATTAATTGTTTCCCCGAAACGTTAAATGCCGGCGCGCAACGCCAGCCGCTTGCCAACCGATAATATTATATAGATCCCTATAGGGACTATATGTATGTAGTCTTATTGTGAATTAAAATAAATTGTATTACCTATATTTATAATTTGGTATATTTACTATATTGAGTTTTTACACGTACTGTACGATTATGCCGTAGTTACCTATGGATTGAGTAAGGCCGTCCTGTTGATTTGCGGGGCTCGGGGCAGAGTAAAATTGCGGGGCCCAGTGACAGTGCTAGAGTTTGCGAGGCCCTGGGCAAAATAAATGTTAAGTCTTATAATTTATATTAATACAATATTTTAAGTTCAGTTAAATCAGAACCGCGCGGGGCCTTAATTATAATTTAAGGCGCGGGACCCTGGGCAACTGCCCCTATTGTCCATCTCCTCGCGCCGTTCCTGGGATTGAGTCGACACTAGTAGTACTTACTACTTGTAGGAGCCACATCTAACGTTTAGTTTCAGACGTTTCAGTGTATTGTTACTCGATTTTATATGGATTCATTACTTCCAGAAATAATTGATTCTAGGTTTGATTGAGGATTACCAATAAGGCCATTCCCGAAAAAAAGTTTAATACTACAATAGTTGTAGTATGACAATTATTATTATAGTTATTGCGATAAATTATATAAATATAATTACCGTAGAATTTACGAATTTATTTGTTATGATTATAGCACCTTTATCTTTTTATTTTATTTCTAATATATCTTGAATTAATTATTAATTAGATATTATGAATATTCGTTCTAAAACTTTTTTTTTATAAAATTTGGCAACCGATGATTCTCGCACTCGAATTGCAAATGCGTTATACTTATTCATTATTATGAATTGATAAATAATAATAATAATAATAACAATGATATTGAATAATATTACATGTCTTGCGGCTTATAAACGACGACGGTAATGAATAATGACAGTCCGTTTGCTGATAAGGTCGGAGCGTATTATTTAGGGGAAGTCACACACACACTAATAACCGTTTACTAACGCACACACAAGGCATAACATCACGCGTATAAGGTATTGTCTATACTCAACCCCTTATAAAAGGGGTCCACTTCCAACCCCCTTAACTAAAAACTTGTGTTTTATTAAAAATTGTAAATTTATGCATGTAGGTGGTATTTGATTAAATGTCATATATTACAATTTATCAGAAAAATTACATGAATTATACGAATGTTTGATATTTAATTATCATACATCAATAATTGTTAATTCATATGTATATGAAATATAATGTATTCCCTTTAGTTCAGAGAATACTACAATTTATAGTCTAAAAACAAATAAAATAAAAAAATAACTAATAAAATGCATATTTTCATTATCGTTGTGACTTAATATGCTATAAACTAATACTAAAAAGTGATAAGAGTTAAACAATTTTTCCTAAATGCATGACTATTTAATTGTGAGCATTTTTTCGAAGAACTTTATATTTGATCGTATTTATTTAGCTTTATATTTATAAATATTTATTATTAATTTGTCAATATAGTCTGAATAAATCTAAATTATTACAATTAAAATAAACTTATATCAAGAAAATTAAGTTTGTATGTCCTTCTTATGAATTTGTATTAGTAATTTAAGTTCACATTCCTAGGGCGTTTTGGGATTTTTATTTTATTTTAAAACTGTATTATTTAGATTGGGAATTGAATGCTCATACAAGCATGATAAAAAAATGTAAATTTAAAATAAATATTTTTAATAATGCTTCTTTTTTTTCTTGAAATAATATTAATATTTAATTAAAAGTACAGCTCTGCTATAACACTCAACATGCACGTACGTATTTTGTCTTATGAGCTCCGTTATCGCATTTTCACGTTCAATATGATTTAATTATCCCTGTAATATGGTAGACACAACACATGACACCGATGACGGTCCGCCTCGTACGCCTTGTTCTAACACACGTAATTTATCTAAGTCGTCAACTTCACCAAAAGTTGATGTAACTAAAAAATCAAAAATATTTGTTACACCTAATTAATTTGCCGTCTTGGATTTCGATGATCCCAGTGACAGTGTATTCAATACATCCACTAGTTCGTCAGCTCCTAATGAAAAACCAGCTTCTACAAATCAAGACAACGAGCTGCCAATCCTCAATAAACAAAACATCACGCCTTTGGCCCCACCGATTTACATCTCAAACATCAGTAATTTCTCCACCTTCACAAAGGAACTAATAAGATTAACCCGCCCAAACGCCTTTACCTGTAAGTCAACCGCCTCATTTCTTATTGTACAAAATTACAACACTATTATGATATCCAGTATCAGGGATACTGGAGCTTGTTTTCATACGTATCAACCTAGCATTTATCGCTCATTCAGAGTCGTAATAAGAAATCTCCACCATTACACATTGTGTACGGAAATTTCCGACGCATCAGGTGGTATAAGCCTGAAAAAAAATTGAAAGAAAAAAACTTAAATTGGGTTATTTTATATAGTTGTATATTTATATTCATTAAGAATAAATAAATACTTCCTATAGTTTAGTTAACCAATTTATGAATCGAATTTATTAGGAAATAATAGAATTAAGCATTTTCTTACAAAGTCCTAAGTTACTCAAGATTAATCTGTGTTTTAAATTTCAAAAGTTTATCTTAAGATGAAACAGATATATAAGGATTAGAATAACCGCGTGAATTGATTCGTGTAAAGATATACTGGCATTGCTGGAACTTGGCCGGCGCACTACCGTGCGCTCAGATATTTAAAATTATTGATGTGCAAAAATGGAAAATTAGTTTTTTAAAAATAATTGATTTTTGTATTTAATATTTCATTTACAGATATATTTGTGAATATTAAACTATATTTTCAACTTTACTCAGTTACGCTGGAGTTTTGTGCATTTTGTTTTAGTCTAGTATTATTATTTAATTTATATGTAACAATATATACCTTATTTTATCTCCTATAAATAAAAATGGTCAAGAATAAATATATTATGTAGTTAAATATATATTAAATATTCGGTTAGATATTTTGTTACGTAATCGAATGCGTTCAGACAATTATTTTTGGCATTTTCTAGGAATTATTATTAAATATAAAATATTATAATTTATAACTTAACTACGTTATAGCTATGTCAAAAAGAAAGTATGAAATAAATAATATCATTATCATAATGAAATTTCCATCATGTCTAAACACCACCATATTATTATTTACATTTTTATCGTAACTTGCTATCCTTATTTTATTGTTTACTGTTCATGAATATTAAATTATAACTTGTAAAATGCAGTCCTGTTTTGTGCTGTTATGTATAATGTATTGAAAATGTGTATTTTTTATATTATTTGTATCTATTTTTCGGTACATTATATTTATGTCAAATATTATTATTTATTATTATTAATAATATTTCATGATAAATTTACGATCCCATAAGTAGGTTCAATTTATTCGTACTTCTCAGTGAAAAAATTGAAAATTATTCACAGTTGTTTTGTTTTAATATTTTGCAATATTTAAATGTGTTTTATATAATATTTGTTATATTTTTATTGTAGCAAATACCAGAAGTGTCTCCAACAGGTCGATTCACAACGTTAGTTCCATTATGTTTTATACTTCTAGTATCTGCAGTCAAAGAAATTATTGAAGATTTTGTAAGTATTTTAGATGTTTAATTTTTTTGTTATAAACTGATTTTTTTGTGTATTTTTAGAAAAGACATAGAGCGGATCGTGAGGTTAATCACCGAAAAGTGGAAGTCCTAAGTGACGGAATTTGGACCCCTCAAAGATGGGATCTTATTAATGTAGGTGACATTGTTAGAGTAAAAAATAATACGTTCTTCCCCGCCGATCTTTTAATACTTTCTTCCAGGTAAATATTTCAATATCTTGCACACTTTGTGTATTATAAAAATACAAGTGTTATCATTATCCTCTTATTGTAATGTAGTGAGCCGCAGAGTATGTGTTACATCGAAACAATGAACCTAGATGGCGAAACAAATCTTAAAATACGACAAGGTCTTCCAGAAACATCACATTTTGTCGAGGCAAATGATCTCATGCGTTTAAAAGGAACAATCGAATGCGAGCTTCCTAATCGGTTAATCTACGATTTCGTAGGCAGTTTGAAATTGGTCGACAGAGTGTGAGTATTATCTGGTCATAATTAGTTCTGTATTGTATTCAACATTGTTATGTTTACCGATTTTAGTCCGTTATCTCTGGGTCCTAATCATCTGTTATTACGGGGTGCGATGTTACGAAATACATCATGGGTGTGCAGTTTAGTGATTTATACTGGTCATGAAACCAAACTTATGATGAACCAAACTTCAGCTCCTCTCAAAAGATCAACAGTGGATAAAATTGTTAATACGCAGATTATAATGCTCTTCTTGTTGCTGTGTTCATTGTGTTTGATAAGCTCGTTTTGCAATATTGTCTGGACTAAACAAAAAGGACAAAAAGACTGGTATTTACAAATAGATGGTAAGTTAAACTACCCACGTTATCACTTGCCAATATTTGTTAAATTTAACGTATTTTTTTTTTTATTTTTTTTTTTTTGATTTCCAGATATTGCTACTTATAAATTTGCATTTAATTTGCTCACTTTCTTCATATTATTTAACAATTTGATTCCTATTTCGTTGCAAGTAACAGTAGAAGTTGTACGTTTTATGCAAGTAAGTTTCACTATACTTATTTATTACACCATATGTTTTAGTTATACGTATTTATATTTTATTATTTAGGCAATGTTTATTAATAATGATATTGAAATGTATCACGAAGAAAGTAATACACCAGCAATGGCAAGAACTTCCAATTTAAATGAAGAATTAGGCATGGTAATATTAAATCTGAATTCTGTTAATAAATTAGTATAATTTTATCACTTTTTTATTTTAGGTTAAATATATTTTTTCTGATAAAACTGGTACGTTAACAAGAAACGTCATGGAATTTAAACATTGTTCAATCGCTGGAATACTTTACCTTGAAGGTTCAAAAGAAACATTAATAAAAGTGAGTGAATTTTGTATTTATCTTCATCCATGCCTCTGAAACCTAAAATGGCTTTAAATTGAAATATTAATTTATATTTTTACAGAATTTAGAAAATCATCCTACCAAAATTTATATTTTAGAATTTTTAAGAATGATGTCAGTTTGTCATACAGTTATCCCAGAAAATATTAACAACTCTAATGAAATTGTATATCATGCATCATCTCCAGGTTTGTCAATTATTTATGCATATAAGTATAACATTGTATTTACTCTATGGTTATAATTTTTAGATGAGCAAGCACTGTTGAAAGGATCTCAACAATTTGGTTATGTGTTCCATGCTCGTACTCCAAAATCAGTCCTTATTTCAGCTTTGGGCAAAAACGAAGAGTACCAAGTTTTAACTGTCATAGAATTTACTAGTGCTAGGAAGAGAATGTCAGTTATTGTACGTACACCAGATAAAAAAATCCATCTTTATTGTAAAGTGAGTTCATCATAGTGTATAATATTAAATTAAAATGCATGATTAAAATATTTTTATATTTTCAGGGTGCTGACACCGTTATTTTTGAACGACTGTCTAGAAAAGGAGAACAGTATAAAGACATAACACTAAAGCATCTTGAAGAGTTTGCAAATACTGGCTACAGAACTTTGTGTTTTGCATATTCTGAAATTTCTGAAAATTTTTACTCCAGTTGGAATGAAAAATTCGTCAAAGCATCTAATGTGTTAACTAATCGTGAGGTCGCTATTGATGAGGTGGCCAAACTAATTGAAGTAAATCTCATACTCCTTGGAGCGACTGCTGTCGAAGACAAACTACAAGACCAAGTCAGTGATGAAATTTTATTTCTTAATTGCCAGAAATTAATGATTTTATTTGGTAAAGGTACCAGAAACTATTGCAGCTTTGATAAAAGCCGATATCAGTGTTTGGGTGTTAACTGGAGATAAACAAGAAACAGCAATTAACATTGGGTTCTCGACAAATCTGATTTCGCAAGGAACACCTTTAATTATTCTCAATGAACCCACATTGGATGTTAGTATATAGTTAATATGTGTGATTCATTGTATCTTATGATTGATTTTAATTTAAAGGAACTCAGAGAATCTTTACGACATCACATAAACGAGTTAGGACCGTCTGTGGGAAAATCTGCCAATCCTTGTACATTGATAATTGATGGTCAATCATTAAAGCACGCTCTATCTCATGATTTAAAAATGGACTTCTTAGAACTCTGTATGAGTTGCAAATCTGTTATATGCTGTCGTGTGTCTCCTATGCAAAAAGCTGAAGTATGTATTACCAACCAATAGTAATGAATTGGACAGCAGATGTTTGGTAATATATTTAAATTTTATTTTGTTGTTGTTTTTGTAACAGGTTGTAGAATTGGTAACGTCTAATACACATGAAGTGACATTAGCAATTGGTGATGGTGCTAATGATGTGGCCATGATACAAAAAGCCCATGTTGGAGTTGGTATATCGGGTGTTGAGGGATTACAGGCTGCTTGTGCATCTGATTATTCTATAGCTCAAGTAATTTATAATAAATAATATTTATATTTTGATTTTATTATTCATAAATATATTAAAATTAATAATTTTGCAGTTTAAATTTTTATTGAAATTGCTGTTTGTCCATGGTGCTTGGAATTACAATAGAATGTCAAAGTTGATTTTGTACAGTTTCTATAAAAATATTTGCTTATACATCATTGAATTATGGTTTGCAATTTATTCCGGATGGTCAGGTCAAATTATATTTGAAAGATGGACCATTGGATTGTATAATGTTGTAAGTATCTTGAGTATGGAAATTAATTTTATATATGTCTAATTGAATTCTCATTATAGTTGTTTACTGCTGCTCCACCCTTGGTTATGGGTATATTTGATATTGTATGTACAGCCAACACAAGATTAAAGTTTCCTCAGCTTTATTCACAGACTTTGGATACCTTCAATGTACGAATATTTTGGATATGGGTGGTTAACGCTCTTTTGCACTCATTTTTATTGTTCTGGATTGGTTTGTTTGCTATGAAACATGAAGTTTTGTGGTCTAATGGAAAAGAGGGTGGTTATTTACTTATGGGCAATTGTATATATACGGTAAGTAATTTTGTTTTTCATTGTGTAGAAAATATTTTTTAAACCTTTTCTGTTTGTATTTCAGTATGTTGTCATTGTTGTGTGTCTCAAAGCTGGCCTACATATACAGTCCTGGTCATATATTGTGCACATAGCCATATGGGGTTCAATAGTTACGTGGTTTGCGTTTTTAGTTTTATACAGGTATATTAAATATCACTTTTATATTAATTAATAAATAGGATAATATTATAATATTTTTATTAATTATATTATTAATATTTAATTTATTTGTTTCAGTCATATATGGCAAATATTACCAGTTGGTGCTGTGTTCACTGGCATGGATATCATGGTGTTTACATCACCAATATTCTGGGTTCTATTGGTATTCTCAGTATTTGTTGTTATGGGATTGGATTTAACAATTTTATCGTTAGTATACTACTTATAATTTTTTTTAAAAATATAATTATATTTATGAACATTTTAGATTGAAGATATAATTTTTAATTTACAGATTAAAAACAACTACTCGTAAAAGCTTGGTCCAAACATTGAGAGAAAACGAAATAAGAAAAATCGACTCTAACAATGTTGTTCGTCCAAGACATAGGTTTGTGTAAATTGATATGGTACAAAAATATTATCATGTTTATCGAAATTACCTTTACATGTAAATTTATAATTAAAACAATAAATTTTTATACTATGTAAAAAGTGTCGTTATTAACTAGTTATTAGTAAACTTTATTCTTGAATATTTCATGTTATGGATATTGTATTGTTAAACTGTATAAAAGTCAATTAATTATAATACTACACAGGTAGAAGAGCTTATATTTTAAACTAGTGTATGGTGTATTGCAATACTGTTGGTCTTCTGCGGTACACAATGTACTTTATGTTAATATGAGTGCACACTGTTTATTTATTGTTTCTAGAACTAACGAAAAGGCACGTCTCCTTGAGAACGTAAAAAACGTTTTCAGTTTCAAATCCCGATTACCATCGACCTTGGAAGTTGAAATGAACCGTAAGTGGACAGTTTTGATGTGTGTTGTGATTTATTATTCGTTTGGTTTTTGCACGTGGTTTTGTTTGATTTAGTGATTCGATTATGATCGGTGTCTATAGTGGTTTACGTTGATCGGTTAATCGTTGTTATTTTTTAGATGGTTTCGCTTTTTCACAAGAAGAAGGAGGCGCTGTCAGTCAGTCGGACATGATTCGCGTGTACAATACGTATTCGACTACTCCAGAAGGCGTATAACGCGTGCAAATAATCAATAACACTGATAGTAATAACAATGAATATGAGAAATCAGAATTGTCATTTGTAGATGTAAACAAGATTCAGCCGTTATGTTTATGGAGTCTTAGTTTCTTATCATTTTAAAACTGATAAGATTTATTCTGTGGTAATGGTATTGAAAACATTGATTGCACTTAATTGTTTTGATGTATATTGTTTATTAAATCACATAATATATGAAATATATATACTGTTGGGACTCCATAAAAATGTCCGAATGATTTTTGAACATCCCAATGTTACCTATATTAAATCTTATTAGTGACCATTCTGATTTCATATATTCTGTGGTAATAATGACCATATAATATCGCGTGTTTCGAGCACTTTTAGTTTTATTATCTGTTAGATCATCACTCAAATTATTACTTCTATTGTTGTTAATTTATTATCATTACCATACTTTTTTTGTTATCATTACTATTACTATTATTATTATTATTATTTATTTTATAATTATCGTTTTGCATTGTGCGTACTATACTCATAATGTAATATCCTATAATTAGATATTTGCTGAACATGGTATGCGCAAATCCATTCATTCATTGTCCCATTATTTTTATAATTATCTATTCAGTGTGCTCATTTCCTCAAATTTAAAGAAATATAATATTGAATTCTTGTGGTAGACGTTGCTAAATATTTTTTCCGTGCATTGTGCGATTATATATGTATATTATTACTTATCCATTAGTCGTATGTTTTCTTATAATCCTCAGTCGTCCATAAAGAGATGATTTCTACGTGTTAATTCCTCATTGTCTTTCATCGTGAGTTCTTGCACTGTTTGATTTTTAATGTCGTTGGTCCGGTGTCACACATTATACACTTTATAATCTTCTATGTTTTTATATTCATATATGTATAATTTTAGAATTAATTGTCTATCATCTAGCATTCAATATATTGCATAATCAGGTCCTTCATATTTATAAGTGTTCGAACAATTGCATATTAGATGGATGTGTCAAATATTTCAAGGGCGTTTAAAAAAAAAAAAAAATTATATTCCGTTTAAGAAATAAAGAATAAAATTAACCTCAACTAAACTTCATATTTAAATTGTTTTAAAGTTGGATTTATTATAATTATTATTATTGTTATTATAAATTCAAATATTTTAAAAATAAATCAACTATAAGTTATAATTTCAGCGTCTAAAAAAATACTATAATATTTAAATTTGTAATAAATTACAAAATTTAGTATTACTGTACTTATATAGTTGTGTTGGTAAAATATAAATTTCTGGCAAATTTAAAAAAGAAGGATGGGATGCTTTTATTTAATATATTTTATATTCTGTCTTTATTCTTACTTGAATATAACAGATTACTTCTGAGGTAAATACTTGTGCACAAGTTTAAGTTTACGTTCAATTTTTAGATCCATCATTGTAAATATATAAATCCGAGCCCTAAAAAAAATTTTGTCTAGAAGATTACATCTAATTAATATAACATGCCCAACAGAATTTAATAATTTTTACCACTGAATGAGTTGTAGAATTTTTCACTTATTTTTGCAATGTAAAGTACAAAGACTATCAATTAATTCGAAGTTTTAATAATTAATAATAAAATTGTTAAAAATGGTTAGTATTTTTATATGCTTCTAACAGTTTATACAAAGTAAAAATGATTAATAGTTATAACTTTGTATTAATAAATAACCTATGTATATAAAAATAATTGCGTGTCACTAGTGGAAATATTATAATATGATTTTATAAAGCCTATATTTTTTAACAGTGGTCTCGAACAGCAACAGAAGTTGGTCTATGTGTATAGATTTGTTCTTATGTTTTCGCCTTATTGTTATTGACAAAACTTGAAGAAAATGCAGTTTATTTCTATGTTTTTATACGAAAGCAAAGTTTTTAGGTGATAAAAAAATATGACCCAAATATTTTTGAAATAATTTATATAAATATATATATATATATATATGCTCTTTGTATTTTCGGTATTTTTGTAATCTCTGTATTTTATCTGATCTATATGATTTTTATCGGACCCATTTATTTGGAGAAGGATGATAATCAGTTATGTTTTTGGAATTATCGAGTTAGTTTTGAGAGAGCGTAGCATCTTTCGAAATAAGGGCAGATAAATAGTATGATGGGGTCTCCTCCGTTTACTGAGTGAATACTTATTTTCATTCAAATAAAAACCATATCATTCAAGGGCTACTGGTTATATCTTCATATAATTAATTTTCGTTTAATAATAATTATTTTAAACTGTTATTACTCTTCATGTGTGTTCAAATTGAATTTTTTTATTTTTAATATTTTATGTTTTAATCGTTGTTATAAACGTATTATCTAGGCATCAGTATCACACGTAATTCATTAATAACGCTGTAGTCGCGTCTATCGACATTGAACTGGACAAAGAGGATAACAATAATTGATTTTTGTACTCTTTAAGTTGATTGCCTCCTAATAGTACTTATGGTTTTAATAATTTTCTCGTGCGATTTCGTATCGTTTTATGTCAATCGAAGTATTAAAATCTGTCCTGTTTTCCCCGTCCATTAATTCGATAATAATAAATTTCATAAGTTATCGTTATATAATATATAATTCATTATATGGCGCTGTCACTATACATCTTCTATTTTTTATCGCGTTTTGTTTCTACTGTTATGTTCATATCATGCTTTTACAAAACTTGAGACATGCCACATGCATATATATATATGTATTAAAATACATTACAATACTAAATTACGTTTAACGCGATTTTGATAGTTAATAAATATTTATTTGAATTTTTTCTTTTAAAAATTATAATTTTTTTTGTAAACTTTGACACCTCAAACATGTTTTCATCCTTACTCTTTACTTTCAATTTACTTTTGGTCGAATTAAAAGTAAATATCCATCGATTACATTTTGTTGATAAGAAATATAAATAAAGATACATTTTATGAAATAAGTTAAAAAATTTATTCACACCCATATTTACAATATTTAACACACATATTAAATTAAGTGTATATATTACATAGGGCGATGGTAATTTGTGCCATCTACAGATAAATATCTACAAATAAATGTTACATATGTATTTTGCGCCACGTTATATCTTCTCAGGATCTAATTTGCGCCACATAATTATGTCTAATTTCACCTACTCGACCAAATTATACTATAAGGAATTTATTTATGTTAACACATATTTTATTATATAGATATATTGATTTTTATAGATACAAAAATTATTTTGTTTCAGCTAATATTTTCAATTATTTGTATTACTTTATCACAAATTTGCAAATGCTAATTTTAATTATATTATTAACTATTATACACTTCTCGGATTATAATAGAAATTAAAATGAACATACTTGGTATTATGACCAAATAATGAACCAGTTTTGACAAATTTATGTGGCAAATTACATAAATATCTTTTTGGACGTGGCGCAAATTACATTTTTTTCCGTCATTTTTTACGCAAATTACATCGCCAATTTTATTTCTTGCGATGACTGATGTGCATTCGTTATTTGTTTATTTATAATTTATTTATTTTTAATGCCAAATAAATGAAAAAAAATATAATTATATTTATTATATTATACATTTTAATTTTTTTTTTTTAATTTTATGTTTCTTATACACTAATGTGATAAGTTCTTATTTATCTGTGTAACTACATAACCCATTGAATAAAAAAATAATTTCATTTTCATCTCGGTATTTCATCGACATGCGTAATATATCTATGTATATAGATGTATGCACCATGTATATACCTAATATAATTAAATAAGAATCGAATTATAAAATGTTCTTGTATCAAGTTTTTATTCATGTACATAAATTTAAATAGTTTTTACAGATAAATTGTAAAGTATTTTAACTTTATAATTTATTTACATATTTATACAAAATGCTGTTTTTAGAAATATATAATGGTCTTTTCTACAAAATGTGTGTTCAATTTATCGTCGCATATAATAATTGTTATTATTTACGTCCTTACACCTTTTGTAATTGATAACATTATTACACCGGTATACGGTTGTTAACTATGGTCTACCATGTAAATACAATGAAATTCTTATGAATTAATACTCCCAAATAAATTATGATGACCTAATAGTTTAAAATGAGTGATACGGCTTAAGCATCTAGCAAACAGCAAACGATATATTCGGGTACTAATAAACGTATCAAACGTGTGTTTTAATAATTTTTTTTCTCAAAAATTTTGTTTGCAAAATATTCCAACCCTTGTAACCATATTAAATCGAGTCGCAAATTTTATTGATTTTTGTATATACCTGATGATGGATTTTTAATTAGAAATCGGTCGTACATTAAAAATATAATAATACTTGAGACTTAGGCGCGGATCTTGAACTCAAATTGGGGGAGGGGTCATTTTTTCAAAAGTACAAAAAGATAATACACTATTACAAAATAATAAAAGTAAATTATTAATTCAAATTAGAACGTTATGATTATATGAAATTGTTAAATTTTAAAATTAAATAACAAGGTTTAATCTTCTTTGTTTTATTTTTCCAAATTTAGAAATAATATTATCAACATTTATGAATATAATCTTGTGAATATTGAGCAAAGCGTTCCTTTCCCATGTTTGAACGAAGCCATACTTCGAGTGCATGTTAGTGAACGAAGCCATGACTTAAGACACCTGAGAGTCGAGAATGATCGCATTTATAGTATTTTTTAACAAGTTATTAGAACCTAAATTAGCGATTAGCGGTGCCATAGCAAGTATAAGGTACCTATAATATTATATAAACATACGGGTAACGGATTGGGAGTAACCGAATTGGTTTCCGTTTGTGTACAGGTTAGGCGGGCCAGTGCATAGAGAGCAAAAAACAAAATTTTAAAAGTTATATTTATGATATATAGACATATTTATTATATCGATAAGATAGAGTATAGAAATATAATAGATGTAATATAGATTACTAGTAAACAGGAAATAAATAAATACTTGAAAAATTGTATGACTCGTGGTACATAGGTACACGGACTTTGAATAAGACATATTAACGTTACCTAGTAAATAATATTTATAAAATTTTGATATACAATGAGTAAAAAAAGATAAACGTGATTTTTTTGCTTCACTGACTAAGAAAATATTTTAATAGTTCGTGGTTTACTTGCACCTCGGCTATAGATAGTATCTACTATATCTTTAATCGTGACTTGTACACAGACCGGTTGTACATGGATATATTTTTAAACCATTTGGTGACGTTCACAATATTGTACATATATTTTTTTACAATGATTTAGGCGTGTATCCATAAAATGTTCGTTTGTAAGAGCTGTGTAGGTACGTTTATAATATTTAAACATATTTTCGTGCATTTAAAATACGTTTCCGATGGCACGGCTGTTGAATAATCAATGATTTTGCATAATAGGTATGTAACGTTTCACACATTCGTGGCCATCAGATTATTGTGGGACATTATGTGTCTGAGGTCAAACCCGCAGCTGAGGCACTAGTCGGAGCACGCGGGGTTTTGTCTTACCATTAACGTCTAGTTGGGGAACGGGAAACACATAATGAAAATGAAAGATGTATAGAAAATATCTTATTTATAGTAAATATGATCAGTTTTGAAAAATTTAAATTTTGGTATTTAAATTCTTCGTTAAAATACTTGAGCAGAATAAAATTAATATAAAAACGAGGAAATTTAACGATGATCAACGTCTGAATGACCTTCATGGCGCACAAGATTTAAATAATAAAAAAAAATCAACCTCATCTGAGGGGATGCTCGATACGTCGGTGGACAGTCACAATGTTTAATATATTCAAAATGTATTTCACGCATGAGAATACCGGCCAGATTAAAAGTAAAACAAACTAAATTATACGTTACCCGACGTATCCATGTGTCTTCATGGGCCGTCCATTAGATGCGTCGAGTTCGTGCATCTCTTCTCGTACTTGT